TCAGCAGTGATATCCCTCATTCCATGTCCTCTTCTGAATCCAGCTTGCATTTCTGGAAGTTCTCTGTTAATATACTGCTGCAACCATTTTTTAATTATCTTCACTAAGATTTTGCTTGCATGTGATATTAATGATATTGCTTGATAATTTCCACATTCTGTGGGATCACCTTTCTTTGGAATGGGTACAAATATGGATTTCTTCCAGTCAGTTGGCCAGGTAGCTGCTTTCCAAATCTCTTGGCATAAGCAAGTGAGTGCCTCCAGTGGGGCATCTGTTTGTTGAAACATCTCAACGGGTATCCCATCAATTCCTTCATTGCAGTTTGAACTTCTTCCTACAATACCATTGGTACTTGATCATATGCCACCTCCTGAAATGGATGAACATGGACTGACTCTTTTGGGTACAGTGACTCTAAGTATTTCTTCCATCTTCTTTTGATGTTACCTGCATCATTCAATATTTTGCCCATAGAATCTTTCAACACTGCAACTTGAGGCTTAAATTTTTCCCTCAGTTCTTTCAGCTTGAGAAATGCCAAGTGTGTTCTTCTCTTTTGGTTTTCTAACTCCAGGTCTTTGCACATTTCATTATAATAATTGATTTTACCTTCTTGAGCTGCTCTTTGCAATCTTCTGTTCAGCTCTTTCATCTTGTCATTTCTTCCATTTACTTTAACTACTCTCCACTCAAGGGTAAGTTTCAGAGTCTCTTCCGACATCCATTTTGGTCTTTTCTTCCTTTTCGGTCTTTTCATTGACCTCTTGCTTTCTTCAGGGATGATGTTCTTGATGTAATCCCACAATTCCTCTGGTTTTCAGTCAGTGGTGTTCAGTGCATCAAATCTATTCTTTAAATGATCTCTAAATTCAAGAGGGATATTATCAAGGTCATATTTTGGCTCTCGTGGACTTCTTTTAATTGTCTTCAACTTGAACTTGCATATGAGTAGTTGATGGTCTGTTCCACAATCTGCTCCTGGCTTTGTATTGGCTGAAGATATTGAACTTCCCCATTGCCTCTGGCCACAGATACAGTTGGTCTGATTCCTGCGCACTCCATCTGGTGAAGTCCCCGTGGACGGTCGTTGCTCATGTTGTTGTTCTTATGTCGTTGTTCACCTTGAGTGCCTTCTGCCCTCGAGCCCCATCTTCTTGCATTGCAGGAGTAATGGTCTGTGACTCTTCCTTCATTCAGCCTGGTTTTTAGGGATTGTTAGACTTCCTGTGTTCCCGAATGGGCTGCCAAGGATTATTGTTTGGATAACAGGAATAGGATTGGATCAGACCTTATATGTTTGTGGCAGAAGAATAGGACATGGGAGGGTTGAGGTAAGGGTCACAGCCAAGGCTTGGCTGAGTTTGACGTGTATGTCAAGCACCAAACCCAAGAACTGGACTTGGGTTTGAGTACCCAGCTTGAGATAGCTACAGCTGGAATAAGTAGCCCTGGTGGTGCAGTGATTAAGCACTCTGCTGCTAACTGAAAGGTCAGCAGTTTGAACCCACTAGCAATTCTGTGACAGAAAAGACCTGGTAATCTGCTCCCATAGATTACTCCTGAGGAAATCCTATGGGGGAATTCTACTGTTACATGGGGTCTCTGAGTCAGAATCAACTCAACAGACCACCACCACAACAACAGCTGGAATACTGCTGGAGGAAGTATAAGGGTTGAGGAGGAGGGAGATGTGGGTTCCAGCCTTTGGATGGCTATGTATACCAGGAGAACAGGATCATGGTTCCTTCCATTCAAGTTGTTATTTCACAAAGCTCATTGATAAAGAATCATGCTTTACACTTTTCCATCAATGCATTTCACCTTTTAATACATGATGCAGCCCTGTCAATGTTCTTGTGTAACAGTGTGGGAAATTTTACAAACAAAGTGATTGACTTGGTCAAAGTCCCAAAGCAAATACAGTGATGACAAAAAGAAATGAAAAAATGAGAAATCATGACTCTGGTTTCCCTGCACCCCAGCCATGGTGATAGTCTGTGTCTAACACATTTTAGGAAGAACATGACCGAAAGGATTGCCAAAAACCTCCAGGTTCAACTGTAGTTGATCCTCTCGTGGACTTATACACTCTTGGCATTTGGAAAGAGATTAAATGCCAAGCCATATTCCGGACAGCTTGAGCTGATGGGGAGGGATAGAGTTGACCAAGCTTCTCAGTGAGTTTTCTGCCTTCCTTTTTAGCCCAGGTTTGGTCCACAAAAGCCAGTCCAGTGTTTCTCTGTTTCACGGTCCTCAACAACTGCAAAGTCTCCACACCTACACCACTTGTTTGAAGCCTGAAGAAGCACAGAGGAAAAATCCTGTTAATTTTAATTAACTGTTAATTTCTACTGTGTTGCATTGGTGACCCTCTCCTTACGCACCCCTCTCTGGGCATTCCTAAGAATCTGTTCTGCCTCTGAGACTGAGACAGACACACACACACATGCGCACACACACAAATCAGCTGTAGGGTAAAAACCTTCATTCTTGCAGTAGATAGAGAGCTCCCATTAAGGACTGGTGCATAAGCCAAAAACTCTACTGGGAGAACAGACTGAAGTGACATTAACAGTGGTTAATGTCTGATCAACAGGTAAGTTCAAGTGGTGTACTTAGTGCTTTCCATGCATAAATGATTAGACCCTTACAATGGAGGATACCATTAATGTCATGATTTTATAGGATGCAACACTGAGGGTCAAAGTTAGGCATAAATATATTCACATGGCTGGAGAACAGAGGGCTACTGATGCCAGAGCTTTGGCTCGTAACATTGGATACAGCTTCTTCAAATCAAGGAAGAAAGTTTATAGTCATAATGATTTCTCTTGAGTCCTCTCTGTGTGTGAATGGCTCCATTAGCATCTAGGTACAAATACTTTTATAACCTGAAATGTATTTATTTCTTGAATCTACCTTTATTGAGTACTAGGTACTAGGATTCAACATTGGAAAAAAAAAAAAAAACCAGAAAACAGTAAGTGTTGACAAGGTTGTGAAGAAACTAGAACCCTCATGCATTGTTAGTGGGAGTGTAAAATGGTACGGCCACTGTGAAAATGGTTCCTGCAAAAGTTGAATATGGAATTACCACATGACGTAGCAATCCTGATCCTAGATACAAACGCAGAAGAAGAAAAACCAGGAATGCAAACAGAATCTGTCCACCAATGTTCATTGCAGCACTTTCACGGTAGTCAAAATGTGGAAACTGAACTATCCATCAGCAAATGAATGGATAAACAAAATATGGACCATACGCACAACGGAATACGACTCAGTCATAAAGAGAATGAAGTCCTGATGCATGTCACAACATGGAAGACACTGGAAGACATCAGGCTGAGTGAAATAAGGCAGCAGCAAAAGTAGGAACACTGTGAAATCTCACATACATGAAATAGATACATAGAAACCAAAGATGAGTGGTGGTTACTGGGAGCAGCGTTTTGTTCTGTTGTACGTGGGGTCACTATGTGTCAGAACTGACTGGGTGACACTAACCTCTCCCACCTTCCACCTCCCCCCTCCCCACCACCATCACCACCAGGGATGGTAGGGAGAGAGAAAATGGGTTTTTGATTGGGAGGCATTGAGTTTACACTGATGGTGGTGGAATGATTTTAAAACTGAGAGCAAAAGTTGCAGAACTTGAAGAACGTAGGCAAGGTCACTGAATTGTACATGTAGACACTGTTGAGATGGTATGTTTTGTTATACACGGTTTCACCGTACACACACACGAAAGAGTCTCTGCCATTATAGCTTGTGTTCTGGTGGAAGGAGGTGGACAATAAACATAATAAATGTGTTACACAGGGTATTAGAGGATGAGAAGAGCCAGAGGAGATGAGAATAAGGGACCGAGGAAAGTTTGCCGTGCTGGAGTGGGTCCTTCTATGAATCTGAAAGTTTGACTCAATCTCCATCATTTGAGGGGATAAGGGAAAAGAACTCATAGTGGGGTGCCGAGCATTGAGTTTGTGTTCTGATTCAATCTTTTTAAGAGTTCCGAGATAAACGTCTTTGATTTCTGTTTGAGAAAACTGCAGGCAGAGAGGAAACCAGTTGGCCTGTCTGTGTCTGATCAACAGGTAAGTTCAAGATGTTTGTACTCTGTCTCTAATTGAATGATCACTAACTTGGATGTTGTTTCCCTTTAAGAAAATAAGACAGGTAGAAAAAGATGCTAAATATGGCCAGAAAAAATCTAGATATGTGGACAAGATGTGAATGGAAATTGAGGTAGGCAGTTTGTAAGATGACATCCATTGAATTTCACCTTGTGGTGGCCACACCCTTGTGTCACCCCCTTCCTGTTGATTACAGGTGTGACCTGTGATTTGCTTTTGACCAGTTGCAGGAAGGATGGGATATTACTTCCAAATCATTTATATCAGGGTGACCTTTGCTTTGCCAATAGACTCTACAGCTTTGGAAACCCAATGCAGGGTCGCTATGAGTCATAATCAACTGGATGGCGGTGGGTTTGGGTATTGCCGTCTTGGCTTACATACTTTGATGGCGTGAGCTGCCATATTGGAGAGGCTCACATGGCAAGGAACTAAGAGTGGCCTCCAGCCAACCGCTGTCTCAGACTAAGGCCTTCAGTCCAACAGCCCTTGAGGAAATGAATGCTGCTGACAGCCACATAAGCTTGGAAGCAGATCCTCTCCCCACAGAACCTTCAGACGAGACCCCAGCCCTGGCTGACACCTTCCTGCAGCCTTGTCAGACTCTGAAGAAGAGGACCAGCACAGCTGTGACAGGACCCCTGGCATCAACTGTGAAATAATAAATGTGTGTTGTTTTAAGTCCTACATTCATGGTAATCTATTATGCAGTGATAGACAACATACTGAATCTGTAAGATTCCTAACTAACAGATAACTAATAAGGAAGGAAGAGAATCTTTGCTTTACAAGAAGGAATTTAATGGCCCTGGATTGAAAGCCATAGAATGGTGGGCTTGGAATTGACCATTCTCTCTTCTGTAGTAAAGAAGGATCCATTCAAACAGGGAGAGGTAGATGTAGGAAGGTAGACAGTTCTTCAGTAGAGGATAGTTGGTGTCATACACCAGTCACCATTTACTCTGCATTACTATACTCTGTTTGAAGCCCTCTACACCATCCCCAACATCCCAATGCTTCAGGTATGCTCAGGCGACTACTCTCATTTTTTTCAGTGAGTGGATGGGTGTATCTCATCATCTTGTACACCCTCAACTGCCTCAACACAGAATTTCCCTCTTACCTTACCAGTTGCGTTCAAGTCAGTTTTGACTCGCAGTAACCTGACATGTTTCAGAGTCACGCTGTGCCCCATGTGGTACCCAAGGAGCCCTCAGAAGGGGGTCTCTAGGCCTTTCTTTCCAAGTGGCTTTTGGTGGATTCAAACTGTCAACCTCTTGGTTAGGAACTGAGTGCTTAACCATTATACCACCCAGGGACTTCACCCTGTAAAATATCATCCCACTTACCCAATTGTCTGAAGCATGCAATCAGGGTGCCCCAATCCTTGAAGGAGTTTCACAATTCCTTTCTCATCCAACTTATTTCCAAGTAGATTGAGTTTTTTCAGGCTTTTGTTCTTGATAAGAACAGAGACGAGGGTCTCACAACAGTTGCTGGTCAGCCTACACTCTTCCAGGCTGCAACAAGGACATGCACAGGTGAGACAAGATCCCCGTTTTTGGGGAAAATGGCAGGCAGAGCAGTTGAGCATGAACTAGACAGCCCCAAACGCCTTCACCTCCCCAATTATGGTTGAAGAAACTTACAACCCAAGAGAGAAGCATTGAACACTCAGCCTGAAGGTTCCACTTCTCAACCCACTTTCCTTTTGTATTTGCCTCTTTCTTGAACTTTCCCAAGCTCCAGAAAAAGTGGAAACTCCCCACCAGGTACCTACCCAAGATTCTCTAACTTGCAGTTTGGGTGTTTCAAGGCATTACTCAACAGCTCCACTCCTCCATCTCCTATGTTATTGCTCCCAAGCTCTAAGCTCCTCAGATATTGGTTAGTGGTAATTGCTGAGGCAATGTCACGACAGACAAAAGAAGTGAAAAAACAACCAGACAGGCTGCAAGAGAGAAATGGGAGCTACAGTCACAACCTCCAGGTTCAAGTGTGTCATACTAAGCAGTGATGAGTGTTCTTGGACCTCCCTTCTCATCATGCCCCACAAAGCGGGATTCATCATGGAGACAAGAGCAGGACAAATAAACATCATAGAATGTCTACAGTATGCCAGGCATTATTCTAAGCTCTTTTTTTGTTTTCAGGTGTACAGTTTGGTGCTATCAATTACACCAACCATTTTGTTCAACCAGCACCCATAATCGTTGCCAAATTTCCTGCTGTAGTGGCTAAAGCATTTGGCTACTAACCAAAAGATAGTTGGTTTGAACCCATCAACTGCTCTGTGGGAGAGTTAGTTCCATAAATATTTATAGCCCTGGAAATCCTATGGGGCAGTTTGACTCTGTCCTATAGGGTCTCTATGAGTTAGAATTGACTCGACAGCAGTGGGGTTGAGTTCTGGTTTTAGAAATGGAAGCTCACTGCACAACGGCTCCTAAACAATGGCTCCCATTCCTTCCTCGTGCTCCTGGTAGCCACCAATGAGCTTCAGACGCTCTGCATTTGCCTATCGTTGTTATTCCATATAGGTGAGATCTTCCAGCATTTGCCCTTTTGTAATTGACTTATTTCACTGAGCATAATGTTTTCTAGGCTCGCCTATGTTGTGGGTGTGCATCAGGACTTCAGTGTATTCCAGGCTCTTCATGAGCATGGCCACACACTGTGGTTTCAAGGCTGGTTACTCTTCTAATTTTACCTATTTCCTCCTAGATTTTTGATCCAGGACCATCCCACCGTGATTGAGCTGCACGCCAGAGGAGCACAGGGCTTGGACCCAGGAAATCACAAACAAGCGGCTTTGATAAGGCGACCTCCCTAACCTGTGCTCCTAAGTTACCCCTTTCCCAACAAGACTACTTTCCAACAAAGGGGCCTAGCCTTGGAGATGTCCCCTTCCTCCCAAGCATGTATGTAATCCAGCTCAGGGTGACATCTCTGAGGTCTTCTACACAATGCTTGTCCAGCTGGGACTGGAGTAAGCACATCTCTTCATGATAATGAGGATCTGAGGAACTTTGTAAACTTGGTGAGTTTCCACTTGAACTTTTGCCCCAAACAAAACTTTACTCTGCTCTCATGCTGGGAGTCCCTAGGTGACCCAAACCACTAAGTACTCAGCTACCAAATGAATGATTGGTGATTCAAATCCACTCAGGGGTGCCTCAGAAGAAAGACTGGAGTCTAGTTCTGAAAGGCTACAAACATTGAAAACTCTGTGGGACACAGTTCTACTCTGACACACACGGGGTCTTCATGAGTTGGAACGGACTCAACAGCAACTGCTGATGGTGGTGTTCGGCCCCATGTTGTTGGAAGCACAGGTTTGCATACCATCTACTGCCTGGACACCATCATTAAGGTCTTTCCTCACTTCTGTTGCCAACTCCACCATCCAAACTCAGTAAAGACATGCTCCTCTAAGAAACCAATGGCAAGACTTACTCCAGCTCCTGCAACTGACAAGTTGGCATCAACAAAGAGAAAATTAAGAGCAGTGCTCCATAGTTTTGTAGGCAGTTCACGCTGACGTCGAGATGTTTGAGAGTTTTGCTGAGTATAAGAACTTTCCCAAGGGAGCTGCAACAGGTCTCAGTGAGAGAACAGAAAAGTAACCTGCATGGGATGACAGATGCAGAAAAAGCATGAGTCAACTCCACAGTTTCTTCACCCATCCCAGACCGACAAGGGTCTATGCTGAGGCCAAGACGAGGCTCTCCTCCCATGGCTCTCCTACTGGAAAACTCAAACTCACTGCCATCAAGTCGGTTCCAACTCATAGTGACCCTTCCTTGGGTTTCCAAGGTGGTATCTCTATGGAAGTAGATTGCTCAATCTTCCTTCTGAGGAGTAGCTGGTGGGTTTGAACCACCAGCCTTCTTGCTAGCAGTCAAATGAGCTACGTAGCTGCTGTCCAGCCAACTGGGACTCAAGGCGACCTCTGCTTTCTTCTATGTACCCTCCATAATATCATGTTCCAAGAAACATCCAGCTTGGTTGCTTATTTTTATAGTGACAGTGTCAGTCCCCCGTTGCTATGGCCCAGGTGCTGTTTGGAAACTCCTTGTTGTTAGTTGCTGTTGGGGTTACCATGAGGCAGAACTGACTCATGCGTCAGAGTAAAGCTGTGCTCCACAGGGTTTTCAAACTTGTGACCCTTCAGACAATCTGCAGGCCTTTCATCTGGGCTTTCTCTGGGTGGCATAGGGCCACCAACCATTCATCTACTGGTCGAGTGTTAACTGTTTACACCATGGGGACTCCATGGACACTCTTAGCAACACCTTTAAATTCTCTTCAAACCCACTAGGTTGGTCCTGTGATGACCCCATTCTCCAGGTGGTGAAGTGGAAATTGAGGAAAGCTAAACAAGTTTCGTCAACCAACACTATGTTGCAGATTAAGGTGATGTAGTGGTTAAAGCATTTGACTGCTAACCTAAAGTTTGGTGGTTCAAACCCACCAAGTGCTCTGCAGAAGAAAGACAAGGCAGTCTGCTTCCATGAAGATTTACAGCCTTGAAAACCCAGTGGGGGTTGCTACTGAGGTGGAATCGACATGATGACCGTGAGTTTGGTTTTCGAGTTAATGCTGCAACCTGGTCGTCACTCCAGAATCTCAGCCCAGACCTGATTCTAAAGCCCCTGCCTCCAGTTGCTATGCTTTGTTGTACTGCACCCCACCACCGCCATGTTGTTGCCTTTTGACTATACACCTAATATACTCAAACCCGTGCCCAAACGTCTATGTAGTGGGCTTGCCCGTGTCAACTTACTCCAGTGACTGGAGAGTACAGTCTGGGTGGAGCAAAGCTTTGCAAAGCATGTCTATCCCTGCGTGACTCAGCGGGTTGTTGGATAAGGTCAGACGTTTTAGTTTCTTGCTGCTGGTGAGGAGCGAGCCGACCTCTTCACATGCTTGAGTTTTCAGACTACATTTCATCAAACTAGAGGAGGAACCCAAGCAAATGAAAGGAGTGTGGTCAATACCATCCACCCGCCTCGTCTTCTGAAATGTTTCAGTTGTTGTTAATGTTCATAGAATATACACCAATTCAAGGATTTCTACATGTACCATTCAGTGACTTGATTATATTCAAGTTCTACAACCACTCTCACTTCTTCTCCTGAATTATTCCTCCCCTGTTGACATAAACTCACTGCCCTCCAAGTTTCCTGTCTCATCTTTCCAGTTGCCACTGTCCATTTGATCCCATGGAGATCATTCTTGCAAGAGCACACTCGTCAAGGCAGGGGTGCTTTACTAATTAAGCTCAACTACTGTTCAGTCAAACCATCACTTAAAGTAAAATCAGCCCCAACCAAGAAAGTAGACACTTCAAAGGGAAAGGAAGGGATTCTTTTTTTTAAAAAAAATCTTATTCTTTAAACCAAAACTAAAGCAGACTTGTTATCTTGAGTTGATTCCAATTTATAGCAACCCCATGCATGCTGACCAGAACTGTGCATGTAGGGGCTCATGGTTGTGACCTTTTGGAAGCAGATTGTCAGAACCTTTCTTCTGAGGTGTCTCTAGGTGGGTTTGAACCACTAACGTTTCAGTTTGTAGTGGAGTTTCTAACTATTTGTGCTATCTACAGACTCCGATCTTGCCTTATACCCATCATCAAAGCTCAAGTTTGGGTAAGATTCTAGATGGTTTGTTGTGGTGGTTAAATGACTCAATGCATTTGCCAAAATCTATTGAATTGTACACCAAACAGAGTGAACTTTGATGGACACTAATTTAAAAAGGATTCAAGATCAAAGAGAACAATCAGAACAGAAATGAGAAAGTCCACCTACTATGAGAATGTAAATAATGTTACTGAAAAATTTTTGTAGAAACTGTTGAATGGAAATCTAAACTGCTCTGTAAACCTTCACCAAAAATACATTATTTAAAAAATAATAACTGAAGACAGGACGGGGTGAACACAGGGAAAACCTAACATATACACCACAGATTTGGCCAAGTGAGTCCTCTGGGAACTGGATGAGCACTGTTTTGGTGAGATGCCCACAGAGAGAGTCTGTTGCACATTAAGAAGAGAAAAGGGGAGGAGAAGAGATGGATTCCAGCAGAAGACAGCTCTGGTTGGGTTTGTCTGCGGACAGAGAGGTAGGACAGTATGCATCCGGGGAGTGTGTGTTTGAAGGCATGCAATATGTCAGCCTTATCGCATGCTGATGGCGATAAACTGGAGATAGGAAAAAGGCCCTGTAAGATAGGTTATTAGGTGCTGTGGAGTCAATTTTGACTCAAGGTGACCCCATGTGACAGAGCAGAACTATCCCATAGGGTTTTCTAAGCTATAATCTTTATGCAAGGAGTTCTGGTGGTGCAATGGTTAAGTGCTCTCTGAGCCCACCAGTGGCTCTGCTGAAGAAAGACCTGTTGGTCTGCTTCCATGAAGACTACAGCCTATGAAAGCCAATGGGGCAGCCCTATTTTGTCACCATAGGGTCATCATGAGTTGAATCCGACTCAGCAGTGCCTAGCGACAGCGGTCCTCATGAGAGCAGATTGCCAGGTCTTTCTCTCATGGAGTCACTGGATAGGTTCAAACTATCGACATTTCAGGAAACTTAACTATTGTACCACTAGGGCTCCTTTCTGTAAGACAGAGAGGAAAATCAACTGAGGGGCAAGAGTTGGGGTTTGGGTTTTTGGGGTTTTGCCAGGGAAATGTGATGGAAAGAAAGTGCATTGAGTGAAATGAAGTAAGGCAATGAGTATAAGGGAATTTAAAGTCCATAAAGAAGTGAGGGGGAGGGAGAGGAGAGAGTGGAAGTGGGGGGCATCGAGGGACGGAAGGATCCAGTGAGATGAAAGTGGGTGAGTTTGCTTATAAGAGAAAGTGGCTTGGGAAGACAAGAACTACTGTGTGGAACATTGCTGTTGTTAGGTACCGTGGAGTCGTCTCCGACTCACAGTGACCCTGTGTACAACAGAAAGACACACTGCCCGGTCCTGTGCCAGCCTCACAATCCTTGCTATACCTGAGCCCATCGGTGCAGCCACTATGGCAATCCATCTGTTTGGAACATGGATGGTTGAAATTGGGACATGGTTGGTTGAAATGAAAACAAATGAAACGCCATTGTTGGAGATGACAACAAGATCTGTTCTTGGGTGTCACGGAGTTGGCTCCAAGTCATGGCGATCCCATGTGTGCACAGAACTGCTTCATAGGTTTTCCAGGCCCGTGACCTTCTGCAAACAGACTGCCAGGCCTGTGTTCCAAGGTACCTCGGGATGAGTTAGAACCATGAACATTTCAGCTACTGGTTGAACATGTAACCATTCAAGAAAACTAGGGTCTCCTTGGCAAGGTCTAAAGCTGCACTATCCACTATGGAAGCCACTAGTCACATGAGTCTATTGAGGTCTTAAAATACAGCTGTTGTTGTTGTTGTTATGTGCCATGGAGTCAAACCCGACTCATAGCGACCCCTCCTTGGGTTTCCGAGGTGGTATCACTATGGAAGTAGATTGCCCAACCTTCCTTCTGAGGAGTGGCTGGGGGGTTTGAACCACCAGCCTTCTGGTTAGCAGTCAAGTGTCTTAGGTACTATGCTACCAGAGATCCCCAGCTAGTGTGACTGAATTCTAAATTTTATTTTCTGTTACTCAAATTCAAGTTAAAAACTGATTTGATTCAGTTCTTGGAAAACTTTTACGTATTTTAGAACCATTGGGTTTGTGAGTTGACCTGCAATTGTGAAATTCATGAGATCAAGATAAAGATCAAGTATTTCTGACAAAAACTTAGCATCTGAATGGACATCTTCTGAAAGTATAAAGTACATCAGGATCTGGAAGACTTAACACCAAAAAGAGGCATGTCAATCACATAATAATAATAAAATCAGTTGTCATCGAATTGACTCAGCTCCTGTGACCCCACATGTGTCAGAGAGTTGAACAGTGCTCGGTAGGCTTTTCAATGACTGATTTCTCAAAGGTCACTAGGTCTTCTCAGGTGAATCTGTGTGGACTCAAGCCTCTACCCTTTTTGTTACCAGCTGAGCCTATTAACCATTTGCACAAACCAAGGGGCTAGTGAAAACCTATTAATAGTTTTTTTTTTTAATATGTCAATTACAAAAGGAAGACACAGAGAGGTGCACAAGAGGTACAGACAACAATGATAAACACTTCTACATACATAATCCTGCTTTATCAGAAATAACCAACATTCATCTCTGAGTGGGTACATAGGTAGACAGGCTGAATGATCAGGTATGTCTAGGCAAATAGGAATGCACCCATGACCATATGTAAGATCGGCAGAGGATATTTCTACCTACGTATTTATATGTGTTGTAAATAGAACCAACAGGGGATGAAGTTATGATAACTTCTTAGCCACAATCACTCAGCCTGAGGGAGCGAGTTGTTGGACCTCTGGGCTCAGGACCGTGGTCACGGGACACATCAAACTTAATTGGCATAATGTTACACCAAAACTACACAAAAATGTTGCTCTATATCCTACTTTGGTGAGTAGCAACTGGGGTCTTAAAAGCTTGCAAGCAGCCACCTAGATGCAACAAATGGGTCTCTCCTCATCTGGAGCAAAGAAGAGTGAAGAAAATCAGAAACCCATGGAAACCATCAGTTCAGAGGACTAGTGGACCATGCGAACCTCAGCCTGCATGATCATGAGACAGAAGAACTAGATGGTGCCAGGCTACCACTGTCAGCCACTCGGAAAGCAATCAAAATAGGAGATCCTGGATAGAGCGGGAGAACAATATGGAGCAAAACTCAAAATCATAAAAAAGATCAGGCATGAAGCAAAGTGTATGTGAACTGCTGTATGGAAAATGAATTTGCTCTGTAAACTTTCACCCAAGTCACAATTTTAAAAAATATGTATTACATATCAATATAATTTTTGTTGTATTGAGTTAAGATGTATTAAAATTAATTTTGCCTGTTTTACTTTTTGATGTGAGTACTGGAAAATTTTAGATCATCTTCATCTCTGGCACCATGTTTCCAGTAGGCACTATTGCTCTAGCGTTGGCCTGGGTGATCTGTGTCTGAAGATGAGCAGAGGGACTAGATCAACAGGAGATTATAGATCAAGGAAATAAGACAAAGGAAAGGATCCATACAGCAACCAAGGCCAGCTACAAAAATAGGAAGAGTGCTGGGGAGAGAGAAATAAGCCATGTGCTGAAAATCTCCAAAGAATGAGAGGTATCAAGGAGAGGTACCAGGTGGTATTATCATTACCTGTGAACCAGGGTTCCTGGGCAGTCTAAAAGGTAGTGTAGTAGATAAAGTCATTAACTGCTAACTGGAAGGTTAGCTGTTCAAACCCACCAGCCACTCTGTGGGAGGAAGATGGAGCAATCTCTTCCATAGGATTTACAGCCTCGGAAACCCAATGGGAGGCTCTATGAGTCAGAAACGACTTGATGGCAGTGAGTTGGGGCAGTATAAATGAACGTGCTTGGCTGCTCACGAGAAGGTCGCAGTTTCACGTCTACACAGAGGTGCCTTGGAAGAAAGGCCTGGTGATCTACTGAAAACATCAGCCATTGAAAGCCCCATGGAGCAGAGATCTATTCTTTGACATACATGGTGCACTGTGAGGTGGAATTGACTGGACAGTGCCCGGTTACTGGTTTACATACCAATACCCAGGCCTTCTTCCCAGCACACTCATTCAGACAGCAATGACGTACCTCAGATGCTGTATGTTGCATGTCGGAGTGGCCAAAGCCTCACGCAGAAGTGAGAATATCTCTAGGGGAACAGGCATACAAGTCAGGCTCAAGTGTGTCAAATTCCGGTTATGAGCGATGGCCTTGAACAAGCCCTCAAATCTGGTATCAGCAGGGAGATGCGTCAGTCTACAGAATACAAAGTTTGTTATTGTTGGGAGTTGCCAATGAGTTAATTCTGACTCGTAAGCATGCCCGTATATGTAGAGAACTGAACTCCATAGGGCTTTCAAGACTGTCCCCTTTCACAAGGCTGCCAGGCCCTGTCTTGTGAGAGACCTCAGGATGGGTTTGAACCATCAACCTTTTGGCCAGTAGTTGAGTGCTTAACCATCTGCACCACCAGCCACCCTGAACATAAAATAGCGGGAGAGTGAACTGTGAAAGTCGCACAAGACTATGAACATCTTGTCTGCAATTTCTCCTGCTCATCCTGGAGCAGGTTTTCAGACTTTTGATCTTATCTTCACACACTTGATCGCCATCAAAGATCCTTCGGTTCACAGTCAGGTGCAACGTCCTCTGCTAATCCCAACGTCAGGCTGTCACCTTAGAAAAAGACTCTGGGTGTCTTAGTTACCACAAGGGGATGGCTTTAAAGAGCAGACAATTACTTTTTCCCAGTTCAAGAGTCTGGAAGTCTGAGTTCAGGGCACGAGCTCTAGGGGAAAGCTGTGTCTTTGTTGACTCTGGGGGAGGATCCTTGCCTCAGCTTCTCTAACCCATGCGTTCCTCGGTTCCTGGTGATCTCTAGGTGGCAATCATCTTTCTCCATTCATGCTTCCTTGCTTCTGTGCCTAATCTGGTCTTTCACATCTCAAACATGATTGCTTAACAGCCATTGTGAGGAAAGTAACCAATCTTATGAACAACTTGTGTGGAAATCATTGAATGAGAACCAAACCTGCTGTGTAAACCTTAGCTGAAGACACAATAAGTTTTTATTATTTTTATTAAAAAGTAGTTGATTAAATCCACACCCAACACTTACATGGCCTCACTAACGTAACAAAGATGGGATTACATCCAGGGGTAAAGGGACTAGGAATTACAACCTACTTTTGGAGGATATCATTCAATTCCTAACATGAGGTCTTTATTACGTGTTTACTGTGTTAGGCTACCTCTAAGTAGTATCTGTGAGTAGCCTTTTTCTAATCACACAGTGGGACCAGGCAAGAATATTCTACAGGCATCCAAATAGGAAATGATGGTGCCTTGGGTTAAGTGGGTAATGGAACAGAAAACAAAGAGTGGTTATATTCGGGATAATTTTCAAAATTAGGAGTTGTTGTTCAACCCTTTGGCATTATGGAATTCATAAAGTTCACGATCTATGTCCTGGTTTGGTAAGCAGTGTCCGGGACCTGAAAAGTTCATGAGCAGCCATCTGAGATAAAACTATTGGTCTCTACTTTTCTGGAGCAAAAGAGAAAGAAGGAAACACCAAAAACTCAGAGAAGAAATTAGTCTACAAGATTCATAGGTTACACAAACCACAGCCTCATCTACCCTGAGACCCGAAAAACTAGATGGTGCCCAGCTACCACTACTGATCATTCTGATCAGGACTACAGTAGATGGATCCTGATAGAATGGAAGAAAAATGTGGAACAGGACTTCAAACTCTTAAAGAGTCTAGATTTAGCAGACCAGTGAGACTGGAGGACTCCCCAAGTCTATTGCTGGGATTCTTTAGACCTTGAGCTGAAAGTAGCCCCTGAGGTCACCTTTTGTCTAAGTACCAGATAGGCTCACAAAATAATGAACATCATCTGTTAAGTACTGGACTCCTTAAAAAACAAAAAAAATCATCTATATGAGATCAACTAGCTAACAATTTCTTTAAAACAAAGATGAGAAGGTAAGGGGGCAGTAAACCGGCGGAATGGAACAGAAGCAGGACAGAAAAATGGGAACATTCATGCATTGTGGAAAACATAATCAATGTCACCGAACAACTTGTGTAGAAATTGTTGACTGAGAACCTCAGTGACTATGTCAGCCTTCACTGAATAATACAGTATTTTTGATAATTAGGAGTTGCCAATGGACTGCACGGAGAATGTGAAAGAACGGGGAATCAAAGATGATGCCCAGAGATTCATGATTCCCTGGGGAGTAGCAGTGACACATCAAGGCAACAGCTTTTGACATTGCGTCTCTAAGGGACTCGTGGGAAGAAGAGCTAGGAACCCATGAAAGATGTCTGAGTAGAAGGGACCCAGGTCCCTGATGAACCATGGAGTATATTTTCACCAGGTTTCCCTCTAGATTGAGGAACATTTGTGGCACAGTGGTTAAAGCACTCAACTGCAAAACCAAAAGGTTCGAACCCATCAGCCACCCTGGGAGAAGGATGTTGCAGCCTGCTTCCATGATGTTTACAGCCTTGGAAACCCCTTCTACTCTGTCTTATCGGGGGTCGCTATGAGTCAGAATCAACTCTCCATCAATGGCCTTGGTTTTTGGTTCACCTCTAGACTTCATGTGAGTAGAAGGTGAAGCTGTAGGTGCTTAAACCACTCTTGGAACAGTGGGATGTATTCTGTCAAATGGAGTTCAATGTAATCCAGAGTGATTACTCTTAATTTCCTCTTTTTACTTAGGTGCTTTGTGATTCATGAATGTATCGTTAAACATTTCTTTAGAGGCAAGAGTTAAAATGGCTTTCCTGGCCCGAGAGCCAAGCGAACATTCATTATAAGGCCATTCAAGTAGCGAATGTTTGTGAACGGAAACTTGAACAAGTGTTCTGTACCTGCACGAGTTAGTGATTTTAAAAAAGCCATCAAGTCAATTTCGATTCATAGCGACCCCCTTTGAGTTTCCAAGGTGGTAAATCTCTACAGAAGCAGATTGCCCAGTCTTCCTTCCGAGGAGTGGCTGGTGGGTTTGAACTGCCAACCTTCTGGTCAGCAGTCAGATGCCTTAGGCACTGCACCACCAGAGCTCCTTACACGGTATAAATTGGCAACACTCATCTAATCTAAGTAAACCAGCTTAACATTCAGTGAAGAAGCCCTGGTGGCACGATGTTACGCACTCAGCTACCAACCAGAAATATGGTGGTTCAGATGCACCAGCCACTGTACAGGGAGAGAGACCTGGCAGTTTGCCCCAATGAAGACTGCAGTCAAGAGACCCCGCAGCACCGTCCTACTCTGTCCTGTAGGGTCGTTGTGGATCAGAATTGACTTGATGGCACACAGTGACATTCAGTGAACCTCTCCCTTTCCACCCTCACCTCCCAAAAAAAGCAAGACATTTCTTCATCTAAGCTTCATAAATCCACCCTGTAACTGCGTTCGCTTGGGCTCCTTGCCACTTTTAACTTGGGTATTTTCTGTTCATGAAAAATTCTCACTCACTAAACCCATTGCCATCAAGTCAACTCTAACTCATACAAGGACAGAGCAGAACTGCCCAATAAGGTTTCCAAAGCCCTACTCTTTATGGAAGTGGACTGCCACCATTGTTCTCCTGCAGGGCAACTGGTGGGTTTGAACCACCCACCTTTCAGTTAGCAGCCATGTGCTTAACCTCTGGGCCACCAGGGTTTTTTTTAGAAACCCTGTTAACTCTCATTGATGTCATTGACCAATTTTTTTTTTTTTTCGTCAGTTAAGATCAATTATCTTTGGTTTTCTGAAACCATTACAAGGTTATTAGGGTCATTCTCACTCCCCCCAATGCTTTTAGGTATGGTCACCTACCAAATTCTCACACCCAAAGTCATGGTGTCATGACTTTGTGTATTGTTCTCCCCAAAGGAGCAGAGGGACACTGCTGTTCAGGGGAAGCATTAAAGTGAAGAGCGACGCTGATACCTACTTCAGTGTTGACACCTACCTGAACGTCTGGAGCTGACAGTTGGGATGTTCCAGTGCTTTACAGAGAATCCTCTCCGAAGTGTCGTCAAATTCACTGTTACAGACTTCCAGCTCCCGGAGGTTCTCCTTGGTGTGGAGCAGAGAGCACAAGTCTTTCCAGTGGATGAGGCTCCTCATTTGACTGCACAGAGGAAGAGAGAAGCAATTCTCCAGTAGAATTTGCATTCAACTCTAATATACTTATTGATCTTTAATTGACTGAAATATTCTTTCAAGAGCACCTGTTACCTGACTCAGACTTAATACAGAACCAGGAAACTCCAAACTCCCAGTTGCCATCAAGTTGATTCCAACTCATGGAGACTCCGTGTGTGTCAGAGTAGAACTGCTCCACGGGGTTTTCAAGGTGCAACATTTGAAAGCAAGTTACCAAGCCTCTCTTCTGAGAGCCTCTTGGTGGGTTTGAATGACCATCCTTTTGACAAGTAGTTGAGTACAACCATTTACACCATCCAGGAACTGTTGGATTTAATACTAAAAACCAAACAAACAGTAACAATAAACAAAATCGTTGCTGTTGAGTCAATTCTGACTCTTGGCGACCCCATGGGTTACAGGGTAGAACTGAGCTTCCTGTGGTTTTCTTGGCTGTAGTCTTTAGAGAAGCAAATTGCCAGGCTTTTCTTCCATGACACCATTGGGTAAGTTTGAACCACCAACCTTTAGGTTAATAGTCAAGCACTTAACTGTTGGCATCACCCAGGGACCATGACTTAATACTAGGAGAGAAGAGATAAAGGATGGTCCGGTGTGGAAAACACCACTGAGACCTGTGAACTTAGTTGGTGATTCTGTAGTCAAGCAACACAGAATTGCTTGAGCATGATTCCTCTCATGTGGAAAGCCTAACCACTAAGATTAATATTTATTGATGATAAATACTGCAGTTATGTGCTAGAACCCCTCAAAGTAACTTATAAGAATTATTTCAGTTGATCCATACCATACGTCTGAGCAAATGAGGTTAAATCAGTTATCCTCAACAGGGGACATTTTGGCCTCCAAGGGGACATTTGGAAATGTCTGGAGATTATGCCATAACCAATGGGAGAGTGAGGTGCTACTGGCAGCTAGTGGGTGGAGGTCGAGGATGCTTGACATGCAGGATCTATGCTCCCACATCAAAGGATAATCTGACCCCAAAGGGCGATGCTGAAGCTCAACTCAAGCCCTGGGTTAAACTGAGGAAGAGCGATTTAAAAATCTCTGGTCCAAAGGACAAGCATGATTGAAGCAGAGAAAGACACAGGGAGGGGCACAAGAGTCAGAGGGAACAGAGATCAATACTATCACACACACAACCCTGCAGCAGCAGTAACAACAGTGATCTACGAGTGCATACATGAACAGACCTCACACTGAATGGGCAAGAAGGCGGTCGGGACTACATCCATGAATATCTGTAGGTTTGACAGAAGATATATCTACACATTTATCTATATGTGCTGCAAATTTGTCCAGGAGCACAGTAGAGCATACAGGGGGCAAAGTTATGACAACTTCTTAGTCATAATCAAACACCTGAAAGAATGAGTCACTGGACGTGGGGGCTCAGGACCAGAGTCTAAGGGGACCAATTGATGTACATAGTCCACAAAGACAATGATCTATGTCCTGCTTTGGTGGGTGACGACTGGGGTCTTAAAAGTTTGTGAGCAGCCATTTAAGGTGCAACTATGGGTCTCTCCTTGTCTGGAGAAAGAAAAGTGAAGAAAATCAAAGACACAAGGAAATAATCCAAAGGACTAATAGACCAAGTGAACCCCAGCCTTTACGGCTCTGAGACCAGAAGAACCAGATGATGCCCAGCTCCCACTGCTGACCGCTCTGGAAGGGATCACAGTAGGAGGTCCTGGAGAGAGTGGGAGAAAAACGTGGAAAAAAATTCCAAATCCTAAGAAAAGACCAGGCCAATTGGTCCGATAGAGACTGGTGGAATCCCTGAGACTATGGCCCTTAGACAACCTTCAAGCTTGGAACTGAACTTACCTCTGTGGTTTAACTTTCAGCCAAACAGAAGATAGGCCTACAAGGTGAACAATAACACTAGGGAGGTATGCATGCACTCCTTAGACCAATCAACCACATGAGATCCAAAGGGCAACATTTACTCAGGGGTACAGCTCAGAGGGCAAGAAGGGATAGGAAAGAAGGATGAAAGGAAATGGTAAACACAGGAAGGAAGCATGAAGAGTAGTGTCACATTGTGCGGATTGCGATGAATGACACAATAAAATGTGTAGGAATTGTTGAATGGAAACCAATTTGCTCTGTAATCTTTCACCCAAATCACAATTATTTAAAAAAAAAAGAAAGAAAGAAAGAAATACTTGGTCCAGATATAGATCAGATTATAGTCAGTTGGTGGTGAAATTATGGGCAGGTTTCAGGAATACAGGGAAGAACAGAATTTTAAAAAAGACTCACCTAGATGTTAGCTTCATATCAAATTTGCTTTTTACAAAGACATATTGAATACACAGCCTGAGTTTTTCTAGTGGACGACAGCGTTTCAGACAGTATGACGAAACCATTAGATCTTTGTTGTCTCGGATTAAAATGGCGGCTTCTACAAAAAAGCCCATGATCTGTTTCACAAACTCTTCCTCCTGGTTCTCAAAGAGGCAATAAAACAAAGGTACGTGGTGCTCCATTGCTTCTGGATTGGAAGCCAAGTTTTCCATTCGCTCTAGGAGGTACCGCCGGTGTACCTCGGATGATAGTTGACAGCCAAAGGACGTCTCAAGGATGTCTCTTGTCTTCTCATTGAGAAGACCAAAAATAAAAGTCATTACTGGACTAAAATCGTTATATTCTGCCCTCCTCTCTAGCTCTCTATTGGTTGGGAAGATCTGAGATGCAGTCAAGGGCATCATATATGCTATGGCTGCACAAAACTCCTGGACATGCAAGTGTATGAACGTGCAACGGTCTTCCAAATGGTTGGTCCACATAAGAATCTTCGTGGTCTTCAACATAGACACCTCAGACTCAGTAAGCCCGATAGTTCTGAGGTCTTGGTGACTAAACTCCAACATGTCTTGAAACAGTCCTTCCAAAGCCAGAAGACTCAGACGTTCCAGTAGGATCAGGTGATGCCCAACAGTAGGCATACCGGCCCCAGATGTCAATGCGTTGGTGAGAAAATGGGCGTGTGTGTCAGTGGATGTTCGGAATGTGAAGTTGACATCACCCACCTTGTACATCTGCTGATTCAGGGTGGTACAAGCGATCCAGCATGAGATGGGCACACTGCACAGAGCCACAAGTATTTCGTTGTCCTGGATGAACTTGAAGGCTGTCATAGCCCTCCCCTTGTCTTCAAAGAATAGGGTAAAATACTTCTGCCTTATTTCATCAGAGAAATTCAGCGTGATGGAGTAATCCGTTTGCTTTGCTAATGAGTCCAAGATGACCTGAGGCTCAGTCCTTGTTGAGATGAGGAATGAGGAACTGGGTGCCATTTTTCTCTTCAGCAAACTGACCAGGAGTACCGATGCTGGTACCTGTTTCCTGCTGTCACTACATAACGCAGATTCAGCTATGTTGAAGGCAAATTTTATGTTGTCCAGGTCTTCAAGGATAAACAGGAGCTTCTTAGAATCAGACAGGATATCTTCCACAGGAGCCTGGCCATTGGGCCAGTCCTTGGAGAGCAGCTCAACTAAGCTACTGTGGGCCATCTGGTTTACCTCACGAGATGTGAGATGAACGATATATGAGAATGTATCCTTCCATATGTCTCCCTTGACCCACTGTAACATCGCCATTTTTATAAGCATTGTTTTTCCCGATGCTCTCTCTCCCACCAGGAACACATTAAAGTTATCCGCACGCATGTTGCCCTTAGGGTCAAAGGCCATTTCAAATAAGCGGTGAATTCCTGATGCAATTCCATTGTAGAATTCATCATTGATGTTCGGATAAATGCACTTTTCCCATTGCAGAAGGAATTTTTCATGCATGAGATCTTTGTGTATCTCTTTGTTACCTAATCCAGTGAGTACAGGGCAGAAGAAATGCAAAACACAGATAAATATTCCAAATGTGTAAACACTTTTCTTAGCATTTCTACTTATAAGTAGTCATCAGAAAGACATAGGTATAAGGTTATTCTCTATCACAATTGTTTTAAAAGAAGTTTGCTTAAATCTAACACATGGGGTCACCATAAGTTGGTGTTAACTCAATGACAACTGACAACAGAATCAATCCTTAGCTTGGCTACTTCAATAACAGCCGATTAGCACGAAGGCATAAAATAAGGGTAAAATCAGTCACAGGACAGAACCCAAGTCCCACCCAGCCAGAACCACTGAAGGCCTCCAGGACAGAATACTGGCTCTTTTGAGATGGAAAAAGCCTTTATCAAAGTGACTGAAGTCCCTGCAAACTGCGCCTTGGCCTCATCCACCCTCCTGGTGACCCCACTCACGAGTCCGTCTGGCTTCGATCTTCATGCACAGATCTTGACGATTGATCTTTTGGAAGATGCTGAACATCATATTCCAGGTGATCTGTGCCTCATAGTGGGCTGTTAGCATCTTGCCCAGATCTTCTCGTTGGGCTTTCCTTAGCTGAAGCCATGGAATTTCTGGCAACCCAAACTCCAAAGGTGCTTGTATAAGATGCTCCTTGACACTCTGAAATTCCTTATTCTTGAGCTTCTTCAGGTGCCACAGCAGGTCTGAGTCAGCAGAACTCAACTCTGCCATCTCACTTCAGCTTTCAGAGGGAAGGGATCTTGAGCAACCAGGAATATGGCACCTGGAAAACACCAAAACCAAACCCAACCCACTGCCATCGCATCAGATCCAACTCATAGTGACCCTCCCCCTTGGGTTTCTGAGGTGGTATCACTACAGAAGTAGATTTCTCAACCTTCCTTCCAAGGAGTGGCTGGTGGGTTTGAACCACCAGCCTTCTGGTTAGC